TGTATGTGTGCATGCCCACCCAAAATTCCAAAAAGAGAAATGGAAAAAAGTTTGCGGCGTCATCCTCCATGGAGGGATGCTTTCTCACATTCTCTCTGTCTTTGGTGAGTGCATGTGCCCTCTAATGAATTTTCTTTGAGAGAGAGATTTTCGCTATAGGGCACGTGCGCTCGCCAGACAGACAGAGAGAGACATAGAGACAGACAGCGAGAAATCACCCCACAGGGGGGATGGTCACGCCACAATCCCCTCTCCTCCACTCTCCTCTCGGGATCTTGGGCACGCACGCACACGCGCCCGACGTGAGTTTAAGCCACCAGGTCCGGGACGCGAACCGCGGTCAACTACGTGGGAGTCCAGCGACATAGCCATTACGCTAACTGCTGGTTCCCACTAATGAATTTTTTAAAAAGAAGAAAAAAGAACAAGGAAAGCATGCCTCAAATCCTGACAGAATGGACAATTGGAAGATGAAGGACTACAGTGTGACCATGCCGCATTGGGAAAGGTGCTCTCTCGCTCTCCCTCTCTCTCTCTGGCAAGTACGCACATCTTCTCGCAAATAAAAGAGAAGGGGAAAAAAGAGCCTTCTTCGTGACTTACTGTTTAAGGCACAAGGACCCCATATGGTTGACGGAATGAAGTTCAACTGAGTCCTACACCTGTCAACTTGAGAAATATGAGTATCTGTGTGTGTATGTCCCAAATTCTGACAGGATGGAAAAATGGAGACAAGACCGTGGTGTGACCATGCCCCATTGAAGGGCGTGCTCTCTCTCTAAGGCAAAAAGAAAAGAAAAAAGCTAGCTTGGGGCACTATGTTATATATAGCTAGACCCAATTTTTTTTTTGAAAAGCTACTGTATGGTTGATACACACACACACACACACAGGTTGTCTGGACAGAAGCATGCAACTATTTGCAGTGGAATTGTGGGGGCTACAGGGGTTAACCTACTGGTACACCAAATTTTTATTTTAAGTTATTTAAACTTTTACTAGTATTTTACATCCTAGGAGTACAATTGAGGACCTGTACCCTTCTCCACTCCTGCCCCACTAGGGACAATTCTCAGAGTCTGCCCCCCTGCCCCCAACCCTACCTGCACTGCTCTGCCACCCTGCCCTTCTCCCCCAGACGCTTGGCCTCAGGGAGCCTCCAGGACTGTCTTCTATCAGCCTCCCAACCCCCTACCCCTGACCACCACCAGCTTGAAGAAAGAGGCAGTCAGAGGCTTGAGGAAAACATCCATCTCAGAATTTATTACAACACATTGTTTCCAAATACAAAAGGAGGGAACAGAACTGGGAGCGGAAAGTGCAGCCCCTTGCTTAGGGGATAGTTCGGAGTTTGGAGGTGGTGGGTGGACAGGCAGCCCAGGCAGCAGAGACTGGGAGCCTGGGGGAGCTACCACCTCTCCTCCATTGGACTTTCCAGCGAATGATAGGAGGGACCAGGTCCATTCTGGGGCGATCCCCATGCTGGGCAGTGGCCAGAAGGAGGGTGGGAGGGGCAGGGGAGAGACTCCGAGTGGACTCAGAGGCCCTGCCCCCTCCAGACCTTCGGCAGTGGCTGGGAAGTGGCTAGGGAGGAATCTGTGCTGCCTCCCCCGGCCTACGCACACCAAGACAGGACTTTCTCCCCCATTTTGGCTGCTCTCTTTGGAGTGACCAGAGCCTTGAGAGCGAGAGCAGACAGCCTCAGGCCAAAAGGCCCACACACATCCAAGGACAGGGACAGAAGCCTTGTGCGAGTGATGCTGCAGCCCTGGAGAAAGGGTGAAGGGAGGGGAAGAAGTCTGGTTGTGGAACAGCTCCAAAGTTTTGGGACCCAGCCAGTGGCCCCAGACCACTGTCTCCCGGACAGCATGGGGTAGGTGGAGGGAAGGGATTGGGGAGCCAGTGCATCCTCCACACTCAGGGTCACCTCAGAAACCCAACAAAACAACAGACAGGAGGAAAATTTACATAATAATAATAATAATAATAATAATAATAAACCAATAATAAATACTTAAACCTCTAATCCATGGATTGCCAATACAACAATGATAGCTTATTTTCTTGGGGAATAGGGTTGGATGGGGGTGAGGGACAAGGGAACAGGAACAGGACTTCTCTTAAAGGATGACAGGGACACAGAGCTATAGCTCAAAGAAGAACAAAGAGAAGAAGAACCAGTGGAGAGGGGCAGCAGGTCGGGGGTGGGGGAGCGTGCCTTCCCAGTTCTGCTCCAGGACTCAGTTCTGCCTGGGCGGATCCCTACTGCCAAGCTCCTGGCCTTTTCCCAACGTGACACCTGGACTCCAGCACATAAAAAGTGCAAGAGACATGTACTCCGGCCCCCAAAAGCTTTGGGTCTCCTGCCCTCACCCCTAGGCTGGCCCACTTGGACCAAAAACTCACCTGGGGGGTAGGGCTGGCATGTCACCTGGAAGATACTATACTGGGAGAACATCTGGGAGGGGGTGAACAAGGAGTTTCTCTTCTGAGAGGCCTCCGTGGGGGTCGAGGCAGACAGGGGACATCTCCAGTATCTGCTCATGTCTGGGGTCTCTGTCTCTGCCTCCCTAAGCTAAGGACTCACATCCCTAGAAGCATAAAGATTTAGCAGGTGCTTAACTCCCTCCCTATGAAGGTAGCACCTGCAGATACACACCTGGATTCCAGTTCTGCCTGGGGCCTAGGGCTGGGTGGCAGCAGGGGCCCAGAAGGAGACCCTGAACTACTTCTCCTCCTCCTTCCTGGGCCCACAGCTCCCCTCTGGGCAGTGGAGCCAGTCCTTTGTGAGCCTGGTTCCTTCCT